CCGCTGGCATGGACATGGGCATTGTGAACGCGGTGCAGGTGGGCTGGCGGGGCTGCCTGGGGGCAGGCTTGTGGCGGTTGAGGGGCGCAGGGCGCTGATAAGTATGGTTTTTACTGCGCTAGCCTTATGTACTGCCAACCAGTCTTTGCCATCCCTATCAGATGGCTGCTGCCTGCATGGCTTCTGCCTGCATGACTGCTGCTTCCATGGCTGCTGCCCTCATGGCTGCTGCCCGCATGTCTGCTGCCCGCATGTCTGCTGCCCGTATGGCTTCTGCCTGCATGACTGCTGCTTCCATGGCTGCTGCCTACGTGGCTCCTGCCTGCGTGGCTGCTGCCTGCATGTCCGCTGCCTGCATAGCCATGCACTTGCATGGCTGCCCCTGCATGGCTGCCCCATGCCATGCTTAGCTGCTGGCTGTATGGCTTTCGTGATGCCCACAGTTCCACCCTCAGCTGCTGAGTTATCTACTCTTTGTACCCATCCCCCTCCAACACACACACATAAGCACGCATGCAAGTCTCAATGTCCACACATTTACACGCGAGCGCGCACACTGACACACAAACACACACCTTCCTCTCTCACCTCACCCCCGCAGGTCAAGAACGACGTCTATGAGAAGATTGACAAGGAGCTCCTGGAGTTTGTGGAGGACGTGCTGCTCAACCGCTGCGAAAACGCAACAGAGCGCATGATGGAGTACGCCGCAACCCTGGACCCCCACTCCAAGCCCACCGCCGTCAAGCGGCTCGGCGCGGCGGCCGGCGACGCGGGCCCCAAGAAGGCCGCCGCGGCGAGCTGGCGCGACCTGCCGGTTGAGAAGCGGCTGGAGCATGCGCTGGTCAAGGGCATCGATGAGTTTGCGGTGGTGGACACCGAGGAGGCGCGCTCTTGTGGCCGCTACCCCATGCCGCTCAACGTGATCGAGGGGCCGCTGATGGACGGCATGAACGTGGTCGGGGACCTGTTCGGCGCTGGAAAGATGTTCCTGCCGCAGGTGGGGGTGGAAGGCAGGGACCTGCAGGTTTACCATGTTTGGTTGCCATTGTATGTGTGTTGGTGGTGTGCGAATGGGCATGCATGGGCACCTGCAAAAGATGCTGCGGAGGGGCTTGTGAAGGCAGCACTCCGGCTTGTGCATTTCAGCAGCACAAGGTGATGAGAGCTGCAGCTGCTGCTGCTGCTGCTGCTGCTGCTGCTGCTGCTGCTGCTGCTGCTGCTGCTGCTGCTGTTGCTGCTGCTGCTGCTGCTGCTGCTGCTGCTTGAAGCGGGCCTGCAGCCCCACAGGCTGCGCTGCCTCTCGCCAAGGCGCCCCCCAACCCGTCGCATACTCCCCGTTGTCGCCACCCCTAGGTTATCAAGTCGGCGCGTGTGATGAAGCGCGCCGTGGCGCACCTGCTGCCATTCATCGAGGAGGAGAAGCGCAAGGCCGGCGGCGACATGACCGTGGAGAGCAACGCGGGCGTGTTTGTCATCGCGACCGTCAAGGGGGACGTGCACGATATCGGCAAGAACATCGTGGCGGTGGTGCTGGGCTGCAACAACTTCAAGGTGGGTGGGCAAGATGTGGGAGGCCGTCTCCACGCCTTGGGTTTGTTGAGGTGTTAGGGGTGATTGAGAATGGGCTCGGGCCCGGCCCCATGGCTGCGTATGCGGGGATCCTGTGATTGCAGCAGCTGGCACGCGTGGCCACGGCGGCAGAGGCCGGGCCTTCACCTGGTGTCTTGGAGGGCTGCCGCAGGGTTGAATGTTTGTGGGAGAAGGAGGGAGCAGGCCTAAAGGCCGGGGCCGGCGGCGGCTGCATCTTAGGAGGTTTGCCACATTAGAGTCAGAGACGGAGGAGGTTGGGGCTCATCAACCTCTGTTACCTTCCCCCCTTCAAATACTAGATGCCGCCGAAGGCCCATCAACCGCCCCCAACCGCCCCCAACCACCCCTCACCCGCCCGCTGGCCGCCCCCAACCACCTGCCAGGTCATCGACCTGGGCGTGATGACGCCCTGGGACAAGATCCTGGACGCTGCCCAGGAGGCGAAAGCTGACGTCATTGGTCTCAGCGGCCTCATCACCCCCTCCCTGGACGAGATGGTGACCGTCGCCAAGAAGATGGAGGAGCGCGGCATGAAGACGCCGCTGCTGGTTGGCGGGGCGACCACCAGCAAGATGCACACGGCGGTCAAGGTGGCGCCGGTGTACTCGGGGCCGGTGGTGCACGTGCTGGACGCCAGCCGCAGCGTGCCCGTCGTGCAGGTGGGCGGGAGCGCGCGCGTGCTTGACCTGCGCGGTGGAGGCGCTGCGGGGTCGGCGGCGCGGTGCGTTTGGGGGTGGCCGCAGTGGTTGGTTGGGCGTGCGTCGTGCTGTTCAGGTGCGACTCGCGTGAGCGCGATGCACACTGCGCTCATCGCATCCACACATCTGCCTTATCAGCCAGCTCTTTGTGAACATGCGCCCCCTCCGCTCCCCCTGCGCATGCACTCACCTTGCCCCCAAAACACACACACACACATATACACACACATGTGCGCTCACACGTTCACCCACACACCGCCCGGCCGCCCCGCACGACCTCAGGCCCTGGTGGACAAGAACGCGGAGCAGCGGCAGGCGTTTGTGGAGGAGGTGCGGGAGCAGTATGCCGAGCTCAGGGAGGAGTTCTACGCCGGCCTGGAGGACAGGAGGTGCGGCGCCCACGCACCTTGAGCGCGCGCCCTCAGGGGCACGGGTCAGCAGGGGGGGGGGGGGGTGGGGGGGACGAAGTAACCCCCGCGCTGGGGCAGCGGGCACCTGTTGAGGCGGGGGCCAGTGGGCGGCAGTCCTAGCCGGGGTAGTCAGGCAGCGTGCAAGCGGGAGGTCGGGCGTGGGATTTGGGGCGTGGGATGTGGGTGACGCTCAACGCTGTCTGGCCGCTTTCAGGCTCTGAGACTGGAGGTCAGGGCTGCGAGGTTGGCTGTTGTTTCAGCTGCTTGGCTGCTGTTGCCTGCTGCGTAGCAGCACCTCTGCTGCTTCAAGCAGCTCACCAGTAGCACACCAGCAGGAGCAACATCAGCAGCAGCAGCAGCAACAGCAGCAGCAGTAGCAGCAGCAGCAGCAGCAGCCTGTTAAGTTTTCCATTCCCCATCCCCTCACCCCTTACTCTCCCTCGTCCACCCCGCCATGCACCCACCCCAGGTACCTCACCCTGGCCCAGGCCCAGGCCAAGGCCTTCAAGGTTGACTGGTCAGACCCGGTCAACCGCCCCGTGCGGCCGGCGCTGCTGGGCACCAAGCTGTTTGAGAACTATCCCATTGAGGACGTGGTCGAGTACATCGACTGGAACCCCTTCTTCCAGGTGTGTCCCTGGGGCTCCTGTTGGCGCGCGACCTGGCGCAAGCGCCTGGGCTGCGAGGTGCTGCGTGGTATGCGCCGCTGCTGGTGCCAAGCGGGGTGGGGCGCAGCAGTACGCAGCGGCGGTGGAGGGGTAGCTGGAGTGGCTTGTCAGGCGGGGGACTGCCTTGTATTTTGTCAAGCGGGGTGGTGTGGTTGCGGGCGCAAGGCTCAGGGTTGGGTGGTCCGGCGTCTGCCAGACCAGCAAGATTGCATCAAACCAATGTGTGCCAACCTCCTCGCCGGTCCCGCATTTCAAACCCCCGCCCTCCCAGGTGTGGCAGCTGCGCGGGCGCTACCCGAACCGCGGCTACCCCAAGATCTTCAACGACGCCACCGTGGGGTCTGAGGCGAAGAAGCTGTTCCAGGAGGCGCAGGTGTGTTTCTGTGTTTTGGGGCTGGTGGGGTGGGCACATGGCGCTGAGCAGGGTTGGAAGACGAGAGGATAAGGGCCTGCTGCTGGGCCTTGGCAGGGCGCCTGGGGAAACAAGCCGGGCCAGGCCAAGAGGCATTTTAGGGGGCTTGAAGGGCGAGAGAGGGGCTGACGGGGTGGGGAATTCTTTGGGGCTTTCGGCATGGTGGGGCGGCCGAGCAGACAGTTGGGATCGCTTCTGCTTTCAGACGTGGCCGCCGCCCCGTGCCGGCGGCGGCCCAGGCGCCCCTGCAGCGTGGTATTGCGGCCGCTGCTCGTTAGCGGTTGATTGCATCGCCAGAATCAGGGTGGTACACCCTGCGGCCGCTTCACGCTGCTGACATGACGCGCCTCAACCCACGTCACTGAACCGGCCTAGCGCTCAACCCCCGCTGATCACGCGCCCTTGCACGCAGCCGCCCACTCCCTCCAGCGACCTCACAACCCTCCACCACTCCACCCAAAACAGGACATGCTCAACGACTTCATCGCCCGCAAGCGCGTCCGCCTTAACGGCATCGTGGGCATCTACCCGGCCAACTCTGTCGGCGACGACATCGAGATCTACAGCGACGACGCCGCGCGCGGCGAGGTGCGCGCGCGCTTCTACGGGCTGCGCCAGCAGGCGGAAAAGGAGGGCGACGAGCCGTACCTGTGTGTCTCGGACTTCATCGCGCCGCGGGAGACCGACGTGCCGGACTACCTGGGGGCGTTTGCGTGCAGCGCGGGCCACGGGCTGGAGGAGGTGGTGGCGGAGTACAAGGAGGCAGGGGACGACTACAGGTGAGGGCCCGCGCTGCCAGCTGGCAGGGTTAGGGCTTCAGGGGGTGACGCGCGACGGGCTTGGCGCAGGGTCGCCCAGCCTGCTACCCAGGGAAGGGGAGCGCAACTGCCTTGCTGCCCGGGGCCCGCGAGTCAGTCTCAGGCCTTGCCTGGCTGCCAACGCCACGCCGTGTGCCGCCGCCGCCCTGCTGCTCGGCCCCCGCAGCTACATCATGGCCGAGGCGCTGGCGGACCGCCTGGCGGAGGCGTTTGCCGAGAAGCTGCACGAGCTGACGCGGCGAGAGCTGTGGGGCTACGCGCCTGACGAGGCGCTGAGCGTGGACGATATGCTCAAGGTCAAGTATCAGGTGGGTGGAGGACATCGCAAGTGCTGGTTGTTTGCGCTTGAAGGGTCCGGCTGGATGGTTGGGCAGATGTGAGCGGTCCTGGGTTGACAGGAGGATCTAATAGGATAACTTGCTGCCACAGTGGTTACGAAACGGGAACTAGTGTGTGCAAATGTCTGAGCGTGTGTGGGCGCATGTGGTAGCGTCAAGGGACTGCATGAAGCCCCTGTGCGGCCGCCTTATGGTTGCAGTGCAAGGCAGGGCAGGAGTTGATTGTTTTCCAGCGCCGCCGCTTCTCCCTCAAATCAACCGCCCCGCCCCCCACCGCCTCGCGCCACCCCCTCCCC